TTTTTTTTTTTTTTTTTTTTTTTTTTAATACAAATCTGGCCCAAACATGGATTATTTATTAACAACCACCAAATCTGGCTCATCAATAGTTGGCCCATCAATAGTTGACATGCAAATCTGGTCCACTTCCAATATCATTATCTGAGAAAGAATAAAATCAATAACTAAGCAAAAAAGATTAATAAAAATTATCCATTATAAAAAAATTAAAAAAGATAAATACTAACAATTGTCCATACGTGATCGGATATGTACAATATTGACCAAATATGTGATCGGATATGTGCAACAATTAAATATAGTTAGTTATGTACAATACTTAAATATATTTAGTTACTTTCCTTTTATTGCTAAAAAATTAGACCAAAGATTACAAAAAAATTTTGGACATTTAAATTCAAAATTCAAAAAGACCGCTGGTTTTCAATTTATTTTAAAAAGATTACTAATAATAGTAATAACGAATTATTTAGGCGGGAATTTACCTACTATTTCAGGTAAATATCAAACCTTTTTATATTTATATAGATTATAATACATGGAGTAAAATGTAATTTTAGTTTTGTATCTTTTACTATCCTAACTTTTTAGTCCTCTTTAAATTATTTTTTTTATTTTTTTATTTTTGTCCCGTATATGTGCAAAAAAATTATAATAAGGTAATTTTCGCAACAAAAAGGTCATTTACGTTTTGCAATTTTTTTTTTCAATTTCGTCCTTTATGTATAAAAATGATTATTTTGTAACCTTTTTTCAATTTACAGTTTAATACATGGGGATACAGTTCAACATTTTTGTTAATTTATATATCCGTATACATGCATCATGAATACGCCAAATTGGGCACGCCTATATAAATGATCTCATTTAATTTTATATGCCCCATTAATTTTGCCATCTTCGAAAGCTTTGGTCATCTCTGGAAAGCACAATCATTAAAGAGCATATATATTACATAGAATATATTGGAACAAAGTACGTACTTTCAAAACAGTTGATAAGTTTTCACTTGATTTTGACTTTTGCATGTTACGGCAAAATAATATTCCCTTATTAGGTTTGTTATTCTTGTTGGATATAGTTCATGTGCAGATGCTACGGTCCCGTTACGAAATCATTTCGTTGGGATTTGTAATCGTTAGATCAACGATTCCCGATGATTACATGATGACCTAATGGTTATAAATCTCGATGGAATATATCTATAACAGGACCTTAGCATTTCCCTTGTTCGCTATTGTGTTATTAAGGTTTATTAATTAATTTCATGTCTACATTAATGTCAAATGTAAATCACGGGCCTTAAGTGTACAAGCATAATCATGAGCAGATCGGGCATGCCTTGTTTAGTTTTTAATTAACAAATGATACTAAGTAGTAATTGTACAATATAATTACTTGTTTATTATTAGGGTTGATAACAACCGAGCGGCTCGCTAGTACTCGAGCTCAAGCAGTTGGAATTCAAGCTCGAGCTTGTAGTTTGTACGTTTGACCGTTCGATGAGCCACTCGAAATTTACATAAAGTTATATAAACACTCCGCATTCGATAACTTTGCAATCGAAATCTACAAACTGAACTTGAGCAAAATACTATCTCGAACGTTTGTATATTGTTGCCGAGTCGAGCCAAACCTTGAGG